AAAAAAAACCATGACCGAGTGGGATTCATACCAGGTATGCAAGGATGGTTCAACATTAGAAAATCAATCAACAAAATCCACCACATAAATAAAACAAAAGAATCATATGATCATTTCAATCAACTCAGAAAAGGCATTCTATAAAGTCTAATACCAATTCCTGATAAAAAACTCTCAAAAAAAATAGCAATAGAAGGGAAATTCCTCAACATAATAAACGGCATCTATGCAAAAACGACATCATTCTTAATGGAGAGAGGCTAAAAACATTTCCCCAGAGAACAGGAATAGACAAGGATGCCCTTTATCACCACTCCTATTTAACACTGTGCTGGAAGTCCTAGCTAGAGCAATAAGGCAACAAAATGAAATAAAGAGCAGCCAAATCAGTAATGAAGAAGTAGAACTATCCCCATTTGTGGATGATATGATATGATACACAGAGTACCCAAAATATTCCACAAGAAAAATTTTGGAACTAATAGAAAAGTTCAGCAGAGTAGCAGGATACAAGATAAATGTACAAAAATCAGTTGGATTCCTACACAACAATAAAGAGAACTATGAAAATGAAATCAGGAAAGCAATGTCATTTATAATAGCCCATAAAGAAAATAAAATACTTAGGAATAAATTTAACCAGGGACGTAAAAGACCTATACAAAGAAAACTACAAAACACTACTGCAAGAAGCCAAACGAAATCTACATAAATGGAAAAACATACCATGCTCATAGATAGGAGGACTCAACATTGTAAAAATGTTAATTCTACCCAAAGTAATCTAAAGATATAATGCACTCCCAATCCAAATACCAACAGCATTCTTTAAAGAGATGGAAAAACTAACCATTAACTTTATATGGAAAGGAAAGAGGCCCTGGATAAATAAAACCCTATTGAAGAAAAAGAATAAAGTAGGAGGATTCCCACCTGACCTCAGAACCTACTATACAGCTATAGTAGTCAAAACAGCCTGGTAATGGTACAACTACAGACACATTGACCAATGGAACAGAATTGAGAACCCAGTTGTAAATCCATCAACCTATGGTCACCTGATCTTTGACAAAGGCCCAAAGTCCATTAAATGGGGGAAAAGATGGTCTTTTTAACAAACGATGCTGACAAAACTGGATATCCATTTGTAAAAAAATGAAACAGGACCAATACCTCACACCATACAAAGCTAATTCGAAATGGATCAAAGATCTAAATATAAAACCAAAAACTGTAAAAATCATAGAAGAAAAAATAGGGTCAATGCTAGAGGCCCTAATACATAGCATAAATAGGATGCAAACCATAACTAACAATACACAAACACCAGAAGATAAGCTAGATGACTGGGATCTTCTAAAAACTAAACATGCTCATCAAAAGACTTCACAAAAAGAGTAAAAAGAGAACCTACAGTCTGGGAAAATTTTTTTGGCTATTACAAATCATACAAAGTTCTAATCTCTAAAATCTACAGGAAAATCCAACACCTCTGCAACAAAAAGACAAATAATCCAGTTTAAAAATGGGCAAAGGAAATGAACAGATGCATCACCAAAGAAGACATTCAGGTTGCTAACAGACACATGAGGAAATGCTCACAACACTAGCCATTAGAGAAACGCAAATCAAAACAATAATGAGATACCATCTCACCTCAACATTACTGGCACAAATAAAAAAACAGAAAATAATAAATGTTAGAGACACTGTGGGAAGCTTGAAACTCTTATGCATTGCTGGTGGGAATGTAAAATGGTACAACCATTTTGGAAAACGATACGGCGCTTCTTTAAAAAGCTAGAAATATAAACACTCTATGATCCAGCAATCCTACTCCTAGGAATATACCCTAGAGAAATAAGAGCTGTCACATGAATAGACATATGCACAACCATGTTCATTGCAGCATTATTCACAATAGCAAAAAGACGCAAACAACCTAAGTGCCCATCAACAGATGAATGGAACAAACTATGGTACATACACACAATGGAATACAATGCAACAATAAACAACGATGAGTGTTAGAAACATGTCACAACAAGGATGCATCTGGAGGGCATTATGCTGAGTGAAATAAGTCATTCACAAAAGGACAAACACTGTATGAGACCGCTATTATAAAAACTCATGAAAATGTTTACACATAGAAACAATGTTTGATAGTTACCAGGGAGGGGAGGAGT